CTTCAGCCGGGTTTGCCTCCCAGGGCCACCCTCCCCTGCGGCGAGTCCCCAGCCTTCAGCCGGGTTTGCCTCCCAGCTGTCACAGCAGGCCCCCCGCATCTGCTGCCAAGCGCGTCAGGCGGGAGTTGCCGACTCATTCCCGGGGCTTTCCAGAAGAATCTGCCGTTAACCCAAAACTTCTCATCGGCCCCAAAGGGCACAGTTTCCTGCCTTCTCTGGAGGGAAACCAAACGCGCTGCCTTTAGGGGAGAGGCGGTCCCCCGGGTTCAGAAGATCTCCAGGCAGCTAGGGGCGATTATTCCAAACCTGGGGCCTCCTCGCCTCGTTCCCGTAACAGTGGTGCCAGCGGCCCGACTGTGGGCTTTCGTCTACCCGGGGAGACACCGGGAATAAATCACAGAACTTGCGACAAGCCGGGCGCGTTCCCTGTTCCCCTCCCAAGCCTTTTTAGTCTCTTCCCGAGGTAACCGGTTCTCAGCTCCCGTTTTTCCTCTGCAGGCTCTGTTGGGACCCAGGAGTCTTGTCTGTAAGTCTATCTTCATAATCTTTTCATTTATACACCCGGCCTCCTGATAAATGTGATTCTCTTTAAAAAATTACTTTTTGGATTTAGAAATTGCTCTTTAAGCAGAATCGCCCTCGGCTGGCTTCCCGTGCCCGCTTTCCTGGCCCTGTTCTCTGCCTTCTCGCCTCTGGACTGGGGCGGCCTGTTCCACGGGGAGCTTCCTGGCACACTGCAAGCTCATCCCTCTCCAAGTGACTCCCTAACCCCCTTTTAATTTTTCTTTTAAATACATTTTTATTGATTTCAGAGAGAGGGAGGGAGAGAGAGAGGAACATCCGTGATGAGAGAGTCAATGACGAGCTGCCTCCTGCAGGCCCCGACTGGGGATTAAGCCCGCAACCCGGGCATGTGCCCTGACCCGAATCGAACCGCGACCGCCTGGGTTTCTTAAGTTGTCTTTTAAATGTCCTGCTGTCAAACATCAGCTGATCACCTTGCTTTCTCCACTTGCTAGAAAACTTGTCTTATGAATGTTCTTTCCCCGCAGGATGGTTCTTCTGGCTGTGCACCGACGTGGTACTACAGTGGTTTTACTTTACGTCGACTGATTAGGCACTTTGAATAATTGTTTTAGCTGCATTGCTGTGGATCTGTTTGGCTTAACTCTTCTCTCTTGCCACCTTTGATGAATGTCTGACCACGGGGACAGAGAGGAACGAGCACATTAATTTCCCCTGGACACCGCTGAGAAGCGAGCGCTCTCTCCCCTGTGCAGGAGCCTGGAGCCCCGGGTGCCGCGGGCTCCCCGCTTCCTCAGTGGCAGCCTGTGCGTGGGCCTCAGCCAGCGCCCACGCCTGCTGCTGCGGGGCAGCCGCCCAGCCCAGAGCAAATGTCAAGATCTGGGGAACAGTATTCCCCGCCTATCGGGTTGTAAGCTGAACGGTGACTCTCTGTTGAGTTAACAGTATACAGCTACATGGCCTTTTCTTTTTCAGTTCGTGAAACTTAACAGCTGCTCAGTGAGGCAGCCTTTTCATATTTGTCTATGTGACGAGTTTAACAGCAGACTTTGCAGTAAGCGACTCGCTGGACGGGCCCCCCGGCTCGGGCTGTGACAGAGCTGACTGCGCCCAGCAGCGGGCTTCCCCGAGGGCCCTCTGCCTTCGCGTTTCTGTGGGCGGGGAGCCTGGTTCAAGCGCGGGAAACTGAAAGGCATGTTCCAAGGCACTTACTAATATCCCTACCGGAGTGTTCCTTGGAATCTGTTATTAACCGGTTCCAGGGGAGATGCGTGGGGGAAGCATGCTGCTCAGCAGTGAAGACGCATTAGGACAGCCTGCGCACTGTAGCCCTATGTTGGTGAGCGGTAATTAAATCTATATATCTCCAGCTTTATAGTTTTCTGCAGCAGCATCTCTGGACGACTCCTGCACTTTGTCTGATTCAAGGAAGGCCGTATTCCCTCTCTTGCCTCTGGAAGAGGCTGCCGTGCCTTGTAATAGCTTTTTAATATCACCAGACTGAAGACAAATGCTTCCCTGGTTTTATTGGCAGAAATAAAGCACTTCTTATTACTCTGATGTTGGGGGTCCAAGTCCTAGAAAACTAGGATTCACGAGTCTACAGTCCCCTTTCCTTTCATCCCCCTGTTTTCAGTTCTCTTAGGTTGTAGGACCTCAGAATTGCTAATGTCTGGGTTACCCACTTTGTATTCGGCCCCAAAGGGGTGTAAACTGTATTCTTCACGACTTCTCAGTGCTTTTGTTGGCGGGATGAGTTTGGTATGGCTGCTGCCTGCTGGCGTGTGGACAGGTGACAGTCAGCGGTGTAGGCCCTTGTTCTCAAGAGCGTCCATGTTCATGGTCAGCCTGGCGTTCTCGGCCAACAGAGGGACCGAGAGCTGTCTCATATACTCTCTGAATTTCAGTACAGGTGTTGTGAGCCAAGAATACAAGGTTTGTTCTAGGGTTCGTGGTTGATTTCACTTACAGTATTGGAATTTTAATCATATTTCACTTAAGCAGCCTGTCAGGGAGCTTCGTATTTATTTCTCTCAGCCCCATCACCATGCAGATTGGAAGTCAGTTGCATTCAACTATATGACAAAGCTGCCTACTTTTGAGCAGTGGGAATTTAGTTTTTGTTGTTTTACACACTCAAGAAACTTGACAGGGATAAAGAAATCTAGGGGAAAGAAGTGAGCCCAGTTAATGTTCTTAGATGGCAAACTAAAAACTCACCGGTAAATAGCGAAATGTCAGGGGCATGAGATGAGTCAGCTCGCTGGCTGATGGGATGAGGTCCCTGGCACGTGGGGAGCGGGCCCTGATGGTTCAGTGTGAGCGGAGGGGGCTCCCGGGGGACCTCTCCCAGCAGGTTGTCATCCCCACACCTCCCAGCCCAGAGCTCTGGGGGTTCCCTCTGGGAAGGGCACTGCCAGTCACATGCCACCTGCCATTCTCTCGTCACCTCACTAGCCTGCTGCCACTGGACTCCCAGGACCAGGGAGACAAGAAAGGGGACTGTGACGCGTGGCTTCTTTCCCAGCTGTTAGGGGTTGTCTCTCTTCCTTCAGCCATCCTCCCTCATCCCTGCAGTGTCCGTACCTTGTTCGAGGCGACGGGTTCAGGGGCAGAGACATTTGCAATGAGGCCTCCTTTTCATGGCTCTTAGGAAAAATAATATGGAAGCTATTTTGGATACAGGTGATTCCTGGTCCAAGATGGTAGGGGAGGTGGGCCTGGGGCATTCCCCTCCCTGTGCTGGCATCTGATTCTAACAAAGAAAACCAGTTCTGCTTCACTTCTGTGTGATTTCCCCCCCAGACGTATAATGTTACAGTATTTTAAAAATGTTTGAACTTTTTAAAAAAAAAAAGTCAAGTAAGTGAGTCTATTTTTTCTTATTAACTTCTTATTTTAAAACAATTATAGACTCACAAGATGTGGCAAAAATGATAACAGAGAGAATCTGTTGTGTCCCTTGCCCGGCGTCCCCCAGGGGTGACACCTGTGTAACTACAGTAAATCAACTCCCAAGACTCGATTCCAGTTTACCAGGTTTACTAGGTGGGGTTTTCTTCAGTGTGCCAGGGACTGTGCTGGGATTTAGCGCCTCTGGTCTTTATGTCTGCTACACGCTCTGGGCTGAAGGCTTTGGGTTGAATTTATAGCGGTAAGTCCTATTTGGCAATGGGAGGTTTAGGAGAAATATTTACATTTTCATGTCAGTAATATATTCAGTCTTTAGCAGGAAAAGTGACGCGATACAGTGTCAATAAAAATCCCGGGTCCTAAATCTCCTCCTTCTTTCGGCACATTCTCCTTTCATTGTGTCTTTTCCACCTCACTTAGCCTGCTCGTTCTGGCATCTCTGTCACTGCCTGAGACATTTTCAAGAACTGGCGTTTTAGGAAAGTATTGAGAAAGAGAAGCAAAGGTTTCGTTTTGCTTCCTCAAACTACAGAGCTATTGTTAGAATATAATTCACAGTAGAAGAAAAATGGGTTTTGCTTAGTTTGCTTGCAGATTTAAGTAGAAAAGAATGAAAATGACATTATGAAGAATTTTATCTCTTTTTGTGAAAAAGATCATCTGTAACGGTGGATTGTGAAGACACTCCATGAAAAGCAGGCCTTTTTCAAAGAGTTCTCCAAAGTGGGCTTTGAATATATGTTGCTGAATTCAAAAGCAGGATACAGCAGGGGGGGTTTTAAAGTATAACATTTTGAAGAGTATAATATTTAATGTTTCCATAGCTTGAATTCAAGTGAAGGAAAATGACTTCAACCTTTTGTGTATAAGAACAAAGAATATTTTTTCAAAAACGTGGTGCAGTTTGAGTTTAGACATTTCAGATGTCCTATAATTGCTTGAGCATGCGCTAGATTTTTTATTTCTTGCCAACTGGTTTATTAGTATTTTAGGGATTTTAAACAGAAGATCTCGGGTGTCTTTGTAAATGAATCGCCTGACTAATGCATCTTTTGTAAGCATGGGTTGTCTTTCCCTCCATGAAAATTCCAAGGCATAACCAGGTATGGGATAAGGAGTGTCTTGTTTGGGGACCTTGAGGTACTCCAGACTCTGTCCTTGTCCTGATGCGGCAGTTGGGTGAATTCTCCGAGCTAGGGTGACAGAGGGTAGTGAAAATCACAAAGCAACTTTCCTTCCTTCCTTTCCTGGCTGCATGAAGGGTGGGAAGTGTTCATTGTATCCCACTGCTGCACCCTAGGGCATGTTGCTCCAAATCCATCCTATTACTGCTGGATCTTCCACCCTTACTTGTATTTTGTTCAGTTTCTTTCTTCAGTGTCTTATAATTTTTTGAGCACAGCTCTTTTTTCCTCCTTGGTTAAATTTATTCCTAGGTGTTTTATTTTTTGATGCAATTGTAATTGGGATTGGGAGGATGATCTTGTCAGAAAAGCAATCCCTGGGTCATGGGCAGATAGCGGTGAGATTCGTTTCCTAAAGCCTATCTCTTATTTACGTAGATTATTTTGGGAAGAGCACAAACTGGAAAAAATGAAGCTGCTTCTCCTCACACTTGTGGGTGCTCACCTTCTATCCCTGAACTCTGGCAAAGCTGTATACGGGAGAGACGCCCAGAAGAGGACTTTTCAAGAAATAAAAGAAGAAATAGCCCGCTATGGAGATGTTGCTAAAGCAATCATAGACCTTGCCGTTTATGGTAAAGCACAGAACAGATCCTTTGAGCGACTGGCCCTTCTGGTTGACACGACTGGGCCCCGACTAAGTGGCTCTGAGAACCTAGAAAAAGCCATTCAAATCATGTACAGAAACCTCAAAGAAGACGGGCTAGAGAATGTGCACCTGGAGCAGGTCAAAATACCCCACTGGCAGAGGGGGGAAGAATCTGCCCTGATGCTGGAGCCCAGGGTGCAGAAGATGGCTATTCTGGGCCTTGGAAGCAGCATTGGGACTCCTCCAGAAGGTATCGCTTGTTTGTCTTTAAGTCAGTTTGCTGTGCACTTGATAAAACTAGTGTCATGTGATGTAACTTATGGTATCATGATTCATATTATAATTTGGGTGATAAGAAGGAAAATGTAATCATTCCCTATTCCATTGGCTTAACGAATTCTCTGCTATTACTTTAAGAAAGGTCATTGTGTAGGGTCGCTTTTTTAAAAAAGACACACATGTCTTTTTTTATTTCAGAGAGAGGAAGGGAGAGGGAGAGAGACAGACAGAAACATCAATGATGAGAGAGTCATTGATCAGCTGCCTCCCCCAAACCCCTGACTGGGGATCGAGACTGCAACCCGGGCATGTGCCCTGACTGGGAATCGAACCACTGAGCCACGACCAGTCGGCCTATAGGGCCGCTTTTTAAATGAGTTATATACCACTATTGGTACAGTTTATCTAAATTTTCTTTTGTTGCTTGTGGTTTTGGTGACATATGTAAAAAAACCGTTCCCTAAACAGGGGTCACAAAAATTTATTTTTATATTTTATTCTAAAAGTTTTAAAGATTTAGCTCTTACATTTAGGTCTTTGAGCTAACTTTTGTATATTGTGTGAGACAGGAATCCAGTGTTATTTTTGCACATGTGGTTATTCAGTTGTCTCAACATTATCTGTTGAAAAGATCATTCTTCCCCCATATTGAATGGGATGTATGACACTAATTGATTTTCAGATGTTAAACTAAACTTGCATTTCTGGGATAAGTCCTACTTGGTTATGGTGTATAATCTTTTTATGTTACTAAATTCAGTTTGCTAGTATTTTGTTGAGTAGTTTTACATCTATATTTATAAGGGATATTGGTGTGTAGTTTTATTGTTTTGTGAGATTTCTGTCTGATTTAGTATCAGGATAATTCTCACCTCAAAGAATTAGAAACTATTACCTTGCCTTTTATTTTTTGTAGGAATTTGAGAAAGATTGGCATTAATTCTTTAAGTTTGTAGTAGAATTCACCAGTGAAGCCAAGTGGTCCTGGGCTTTTTTTGTGGGAAGATTAATTATTAATTCAATATCTTTTCTTGTCGTAAATCTATTCACATTTTCTATTTTTTCTTGAGTCAGTTTTAGTAGCTTGCGTCTTTCTAGGAATTTATTCATTTTATCTGAGTTATGTATTTTGTTGGCATATAGTTACTTATATTATTTCCTTATAATTATTTTTTATTTTTGTGAAGATAGGGATCCCAATTACTGTTTGGTGTCACTTGTTGCCAGCCTGAAGTTTCTTTACTTTTTTTCCAAAGCATATCTGCTATCAGAAAATTTTCTGGGCTTCTATATTTAGTTATGTAATCTTTACTTTTGAAACAGTTTCACTGGATCTGAGATTTTTGGTTGACAGTTTTTTATTTTCAAAACTTTGATTTTGTGATCCCATTGTCCTCTAGCCTTCATTGTTTCCGATGAGAAGTAAGCTGTAAATGTTATGGGATTCCCTTTTACATGATGAGTCATTTTCTCTTACTGATTTCAAGATTTTCTTTTTCTTTTGGTTTTCAGCATTTTGACTCTGATTTATCTAGGTGTGGATCTTTTGCTTTCATCTTACTTTTAGTCATCTTCCTCACCTGCCTCTTCCCTGGGAGAACTTATGTGCTAGTTCCCAGGAGGCAGGCACAGAGAGTGGCCTGTTTCTCCCAGAGTGATATCTCTAGCACGGGCTAGACGTGGAGGGTGGTATCTCCTGGTCTTCTCAGCTTGCTCCTCTCATGTGGAACCTCTGCCTGTGGGTGGGCTGAGGCAGGGGTGATCAGAGTCCCAGTATTCTTGGTAGCTACACTTGGGATAGAGTTTCTATCATATGAGTAAGGACTGGGTTGAGGAATGGTACCTCAGTCCTTTTGAAGTAGAGTGCCTGTAACAGAGTTTCTGTAACATGGAGCTAGGAATGGGAGAAGGAAGCAGGTCATGGTCCAAATGCTAGACTCTCATTATTCTAATTCAGATTTAGTAGGCTTTCCTGAGTGAATGTTTCTCCATTTGTATGCCCTTAGAACAATTTTGAGAGACCTTAAGTGATTTTAAAAAAATAATTTTTCCCAGTTAAATGTTTTATAAGAGAGATCTGCCAAGTCTCTCACTCTACCATTCTGGAAGCACCACTGTGATGGCCAGTTTTGATCACTCTGAGACTGCATGGTAGAGTCCTCTAAGGTATCAGGGAGCCCCTCAGCCTGAGTTGTATGGTGTCATTCAGTTTTGTTCAATTGCCTTCTGTTACACAGGAATCTATGATGTATATATTTTCTTTTCTTTATTCTTTTTTTCTTTTTAAGCCTTAAATGGTCTAGACTTTTTTTTTCCATGTGAGAAAACCAGATTCCAAGAGGTTAGGTAGTTTGCTTGGGGTTACACAACTCGTAAGAGAGGCCAAGTTCAGGCATGAAAACTGTTAACTCCGTAGTTTGTGCATTTAATCATTAGGCTATATTGCCTCACATACAAATAGTTTCACGTTATTTCAGTTGATAAGATTTTCCTTTTTAGCCATCTGATTGAAGCAGATTCATCTCAAAGCTGCTGATACCTGTACTGTGATGGCAGAGTATATTGGTGTTTGCACCTTTATTTTTTTTGGACACTGTCTCATTTTTTTTTCATCCTCATTTTTAATTCTGTACCTAGGCCTGCTCTTCTCTGGCTATCTGCCTGGTATTGAAAACTAAGCCAAGTCACTGATTGCTCCTGGGGCCTTCAAGACCCAGGGGAACTGAGTTTTACTTACTGGAATCTATTGTTGTGTTTCAAGACTAACTTTCACCCCACTCTTCATTCCCTGGGGCTCAAAGTAGATAAACAGTTGTCTGGCAACTGGAGTATTTTAAGCTCTGAGGAGTCTGGAGAGTTAAGCTAGACCAGGTGTGGAAAACTTTCCTCAGAAGATAATGTGAAGTCAGCATAGAGGGACTTCTAACCCATGTTGTATCCTTGGTTTAGCCTCCTACTAGTTGTGTGACCTTGATCTAGTCATTTAATCTCAATGGATCTTAATTTTGCCACCTGTAAAAGGAGAGTTGACTGGAATATGAACCTGTCAGGTCTCTCCCAGATTGGAAAGGCTGTGATTTTTATACAAATTCACAAGGGATCAGTGAAGCTAGAGTTTATGAGAACAGAATTCTTCCAGGTGTATGCTACAGAGCAGATTGCTTATATAACCAAAGGTAATTTTTTAAACTTTCCAATTCTAGACTTGAGTATTATAGAATATGTTAGATTATTTGTGTCAAGCTCTGTGAGCTATTTGCAGGGAGTTGGAAGAAGACACATATACAAGCAGGCCAAGTAAGATGAGATGCTGAGTGAAGCTTAGTCTCAGCCTGATACGCTGCTGGTGGGACTGCAGACTGGTACGGCCGCTGTGGAAAGCAGTGTGGAGGGTCCTCAGACAATTAAAAATGGAACTTCCTTTTGACTCAGCAATCCCACTTCTGCGAATATATCCTAAGAACTCAGAAACACCAGTCGGAAAGACTGTATGCACCCTTGTGTTCATAGCAGTGTTATTCACAATAGCTAAGATCTGGAAACAGCCCAAGTGCCCATCAGTAGATGAGTGGATAAAAAAGCTGTGGGACATTTACACAATGGAATACTATGCAGCTGTAAAGAAGGAGCTCTTACCCTTTGCAACAGCATGGAGGGACCTGCAGACTATTATGCTAAGTGAAATAAGCCAGTCAGAGAAAGACAAATACCACATGATCTCACTTACATGTGGAATCTAATGAACAAAATAAACTGATGAACAAAATAGGCCTAGAGGCCTGGATACATGGAACTGACTGACAGCTGTCAGAGGGGAGGAGGGTGGGGGGACAGGAAGAGATTAACCAGAGATCATGTATACATACATGCATAATCCATGACCACAGACAACAGTGTGGGGAAGAGCTGGGGTGGGGC